TATATGTATATATATATATATATATATATATATATATGTATATACGTATCTGTATTTGTATGTAGGTAACATAATGTGATATTAGTAAAACACCACATCGATAATATTGAACATCGATAAGACTATCGATGTTTAATCATTTGTTAGAACATACAAGTGTCCTTTGTAATTGAGTGTTACGTATATAATGTATAAGTATTGCATCAATTCGTTATTTCCATTACCATACTTATCGTTCGTTCATGTGTTTTATTTAATATGATCTAATAAAACACATGTACAATTATATTTTATAGAAACGACAATTAGTAGACAAAGAAAGTTTTTCTTTTTTGCATAACGAAACACGAATTATTTTTAAATCAATTTCTCCCCCTCCCCCGCGCGAAATATTCACAAATGTTTTTTAGAACGATAGTAAAACAAATTTGTTTCCTTCCAATTAAATTTCTATTTTTTTCCTTTACAACAATCTTCGTTATGGAAAGAGAAACGCGTAATTAAAAAAAGAAAAGGGTACGAAAATAGAACGAAAGAAATAAGGGATCCGTAATTACGATGATTTCCTAATCGATTAGATTTCTATGGGGTTTCATATACGAAACTAAGTGCTAATATTATAGTAGTCCTACAAGTGTTCCCCGCTCGATTCGTAAATGAAACTTACGAACTTCATCAGTAATTAAAACCCAAGATATATTCATTAGAATAGAATCGTTGTATTACATTATCTATGATTTGTAAAATAAACAATACTTTACCTGTATTTATCTGTTATTGTATTACACATATATAAGTTTATATTTGTCAAATAAATGAATACTAATTTATGTTTATAATATGTTTGCAAAATCAATCGATTCTATAATTAATTAAGATTGAATATAAAACAATATATATATTATAATAACACGCCAATTGCATACAGGATGACCAGTACCCACGTGGTCTAATTGAATAAACAAAATACAACGTCGTATAAAATATGTAAATAAAAACATCAATGCAGTATTTGCATTGAAAAAAATTGTAATTATTTGTTATATTTAAGAATAAAATGAGAATATTTTCGAAAAATCAATTCAATTCCATCGACGCGCGAATTGAAAAAACTTACGAAACGAATCTATAAAAATCGACAGAAAAAAAATTGGTCACGTTTATCAAAGTGAGATAACGATCGAAGGGCAAACGTTTCATCAACGTTTATTTGAAATATACAATCAATTGATATATCGGGAGAGAGAGAACACTTAAAAAGAACCAAAAAATTTTTCCTTTTTCTTTTTTTTCCTCTTTTCATGCATTTGTATTTACGCGTATACTTAAAATGTGACTTCTTTTTTTGTTTCTTTCTTTTTTTCTTCCGTTTTTTTTTCTTTTTTTTTGTATTGAATCAATGTTTATTCACGAACGTGTTAATCACTTGCTTCAGAATTGCGACGAGTAACTCGTGTGAATTGTTACTTCTTATAACAGACTACTAATTACACAGATTCGTCAAACATAATTGTTCCCCATTCACATTTGTCCCAACTCGAATTGACGCAACTCACACTGTCTGTCTGTGTCGCGTTTAAATCGATATCAGTCGAGAACAAAAGTTATCAATTTCGTCGAAATATATTATTTCTTTAAATGTTACACTTTTTTTTTTACGTTTTTGAACATCAATAATACGAAGTACAATTTTTTAGAGATCAAATATTGTATAATTTACTTTCTATATTTTTACGATAAAAAGTTATTAAATATAATGTAATTTTTATTTATAATAATTTATCGTAAATCAGTTATAGATTGCACTAATTAATTATCAGTACGTGTAAATTTGTACCGTTATTTACGAATATTTGTAATATAACAATGTAATAATATACATTGAGAAACACTGTGAATCTCACTCGGTATCCTTTTGTAAAACATTTTTTGTGGTTACCTATACGTGCTAAGTAAAAGAGCAGTTTTTTTTGTATAGAACGGAAGTCAATGGAAATTTTTGGTCTGCAACACAATATGCTATCTGTATTGAATTTCAATTAATTGTTCTTGAATCTTGAATATATTAAAATAATATATATATGTGTTAACTAAATAATGAAATAATTGTATTAATAAATCACAAGGATAAACAATTAATCATATTATCACGAATTTAATATTTGAATCATATCATGTCAATATAATTAATCCCATAAAATACAATTATTCGCTTATCATTGATCCCAAACAATATCAATTCAACATCAAAAGAACCAATTGAACGTAACAAAAAAATAATCATTCCTTAAAAAATATAATAAAAGTTTTGAATATAAAATTATAAGATAAAAATCCTATTTTTTAAATATAAATATCGTATCTCTGGTGAGCATGTCAAAAATTAAGAATTGATGGAAAATAATGCAGTTAAAAGTTACAATGGTTTTAACAGAAGTAATGCAAGTAGTGCAGGTTAGTACAGGTTAGTGCAAGTTATATATATATATATATCAACTACTACGTAGATACATATACTATAACGTATATACATATGTATGTATATAAGATATATCAAAATGGTAAGGTGAACATATAAAACATGTTAGACGAGAATTGAACCAACGATCGGGAGCCAACGACTCTTCGTTAGTAATAATATGCTATCGTATCCACGAACAAACTCTCTTCGTCAGGATCAATACTCGGACCACCTTGCCAGATACAGTACGATACGTAACAATCTACGACGAACTTGTACATATGTAATATATGCATTTATTATATGAACTATACACATATACTCTATACGAGTAATTCACAAATACATAATAAATGTATGTATATACATGTGTTAATAGGTCACTCGATAGATCGCTCCTACAAATGCATCCTTTTCTTCATAATAACACCCTTATTTCTTTTTTTTTTTTTAAGATAAACCAATCTGCATTTATTTCTTTACGGATTTATCAAAATAAAAAGATTAGGGGCGGGGGTTAGATGTTGGAATCAATATTTCGAACGATTTATTCTGGTAAATATATATTTAGGTTGAAATTGATTTTAGGTTTGTAAACGTATTACGAATGAATCTTTTAATTCTATTGATCTAAACTTTACCATCTCTTGTATACAGGGATGGATAGATTGTTAATTTCTTTAAAAAGTAATCAACTTGTTTACAATTTATCAACAACACTTAAATATATGTAAGATATACGTGTACTTCTACGAGTATCACAAATACGAGATAAAAGTATTGTAGTAGGGTTTAATAGGTTCACCCTTTAGATAGGTGTCCTAAAAACGCGCCCTTTTCTTCCAAATGACAATATTTCTCGCGATAAATAAGGGTGACTTCCTTTACGATTTATCGGCACTCAAATTTCGTGCTAAAGAAACGAATGTCTGACAAATTTTCGAAATATTATATTTTCTAATAAAAGAAATATATGTTATTCGCAATTCTTTAATTTTTCTCGTACTTGTTTGCCAATAGCAAAAATTCAATATTTAATCCGAACCTTTACGTTTTGTATAAATGAGGGGAAAAAAAAAGAAAAAAAAAAAAAAAAAGAAAAAAACATTTAGAAAGTTAATAGCACACGTAGAAGTATATGAAATATTGGAGTTTGTTAATGATAAGGAAAGTAAGTTCAAATATAACCACGCCTCCGAAACAAGTAGTCCAGTATTTGCACCT